AACCGCCAGAACCATCAGAACCGGAACCACTTACATGCTGGTTGTCCTCGATCTCCTGCAGGGCCTTGATCTCCCTCACTGCCTGGTTCGGGATCCCGTCCTCCAGCTTCCTCAGCGCCACCTTCTTCAGGGCCACCGTCTCTCCTGTCTGACACACAGCAGAGACCTGATGGGCCGGACCAGAACCGGACCCGGAACCAGACTCAAAACAGCCCAGATACCTCGATGTGTTTGGCCTGGAAGACGATGCCATGAGCTCCTTCTCCGATCCGACCCAGGATGCTGTACTGCTCCATGTCTGCCGGACCGGGCCGGACCGGGCCGGGGCTTCTCTCTGTGAAGAACAACCAATCAGAATCAACCTGGAGTCTTCCAGGTGAATAGTGATGGAGGAAGAACCTTATGCAGAAATGAATCACTTTAAGGATCTCAGAGGTTATTCTCGGGTCATCTCGAACCGAATCAGTCGTTCTTTTCTTGGCGACTCTCACAAAACCCGTTACTATCATTCGGCTGCGGAGAACAAACGGAAAGAAACGCGCATCTGACCGGAAACCCGCTTTGAAGAGGACGTGTCGCCATGGTCACGGTGCGGCTAAGCTAGCTGTGCCTCAGAAACAGGAAGAGCTGTTCCAAACACTCACCATGGTAACCGAGCGGTAAGCTAGCTGAGATTCAAAGCACCGAGCAGCTAACCTTCTGACGTCACATGGACCTTCCGCCGTTGGTCAGAAAACCCAGAAACGCAGTCACGTGACGATGGCAAACCAATCCATCAGCAACAATAGTTAAACTTTTATAGAGAAAATTCTAGATAGTAAGAATTAATAAAGAAAGTAAAAATATAGAAAAATGTTCCACACAGGAGCAGGAGGTTTTTAATGAACATAAACGTTTTCAAGCAGCCTCAAAGGCATCAGGAGGGATTCAGAACAGAGCGATTTACTGACACCTTGTGGAGAGAAGAGATATGACAGCCTGGACATTCCTGCTGTGGGGTTGAGATTGGGGTTAGGGTTAGGACTCCTCCATAACGAGTTCAATTTTAGTAAAGGAAGGATTTCACTTTTCTTAGATTGAGTTTCAAATGCTGTAACAGTCAGAGCTGCAGGAATTTTATTAGAATCTCTAAAAAATACTGTTTTATCGTCAGCAAGTTGTGAAATTTTAATTTCTTGATCAAACATTTTAATTTCCTCACATGAGCTCTGTCTGATTAAATAGTTTAGAACAAGCAGAAAAATGTAAGTTGTGCTGGACAGCCTGGCAACCCCTTCCTGGACGTAAAACCAGCGAGATGTGCTGAGCAGAAGTTCATAGAAATGTTATTATCTCTATCAAGTGTCTTAAAGGCTTTAAAGAAAAACTTCCCAAAGATAAAAAAACAATGTGTGAAAATAAAGTTGTGACTAACTGTATCAAAGGCCTTTAGATAATCTAAGACCATTGGATCATGGAGAAGATCTTTATAATCCAATCAGAAATGTTACATTCAAGCTGTTTGAAGTTTCATGTATAAAATAATTTAAACTATTTTTCAGTCTTTTAACTAAAATGGAGGCCAAAATGTTATTGTCATTATTTAATAGAGTGACGCCGCCCAGTTATCTATCATTAAATGGTCTTTATTTGTTTAGGGATCAGAATGATAGAAGTTATTCATTGCTAATGGATTTATTAGGTTTTACTTGTTGAATCAATGTTTCAACCATAACTATATCAATGCCATCATCTGAATGTGGATCTAAATGCACATTTAGCTGATTTTATATTGAATGAAAGCGAAGGATTCATTTTTTGATCTGATAAATTTATGTCATAACACACAAAGTTTCTTCACTGGTGATAAAGACATTTTTATTTGCTGATGTTGGGTATTACATCATTCATAATTATCTGACATAAACACATTTCCAAAGATCTGTGTGGAAAAGGGTAAAAATGACGACCTGGCAATAATGTAGCATTTTATGTAAAAAACAGGAATAGATCTCTAAACATATTTGATTCTTGGTGACAGTCAGAACATGAAGAGCAGCATCCATGAGGTCCAGCCTGGTTCTATACGGACCAGGAAACAGGACAAGTTGGGCCGACCCGGGACAAGTTGGGCCGACCCGGGACAAGTTGGGCCGACCCGGGACAAGTTGGGCCGACCCGGGACAAGTTGGGCCGACGTTTCCCTGCAGTCGATCGGCTCTGGGCCAAAGCAGCAGCTGAAACACGGATCAGAGCGAGGAAGGCGCGGCGCAGAAAGATGATAAACATCAGAAATGTTCTGAAAGACGTGGAGATGTTAAATAGTGTCCTGGAAAAATCACAAAGCGTTCGGCTCTCATGTTCACTCAGTTATATTAATAAGGACCCGCTGTTGAGAATTAAAATGAGGAATATCTTGATTTAGCTCGTTAATTCATTCCTCTTTGTCCCGAATTCTTGTGTCTGTATAAATGGGCAGGAGAAAGAGCAATCATACGACGTCAGACTTCAGATATTCAGAGTTTTATCCAAAGAATTTAATGCAATACATAATGTTACAACAAGCATCTCACCTAGATTATCAAAAGTCCAAGACATGACAAAACAGAGACAATTAACTGAGTAAAAAGACAAAAAATTAACAGAAGATGCATCCTCCTGGAAACTCTCACTCAGCACAAAGAGATTCGAATTTCTGCTGTGAAACAAATCATTTTATGAGAATAAGTTTTCTCCTCATTTGAATATATGCATTAGGAGGTGTGTTTTCCTTTGAGTGGCTGTCTTAAATGTTAATTTTATTACCTCTGAGACCCACTGAAACACCAGTTCTTCTCGTACCAGCCTCTGGCCAGACTGTGATTTACGGCGTGGGTCTGCAGCGTTATCTCTGCCTCAAAATGATTCAACAAGAAACCAGTTGGTGTTTTTTAAACAAACTCGCACAAAATGTAATGCTTAATGATGACTATAAGTTTGGATCTAATAAGTAACTAATTCAAAACATGCTTAAAGAAATATATTTAATTCTAATATAGATAAAATTATTTATAAAAAGTTTTAAGATCCTAGTGAACTTTTGAACCATGCTAAGGAATTTGTTAATTGTCTGGCAGACAGACTCCCTGTCTAAAGAGAGTTAAGGAGTCTCAGTCTGTCTTTCTTTAAAATCCTCCCTATACAATTCATGTAAAACTTTTAGAGTGGCCAGTTGTTTTAGTTTGGATCTTTATCTAAGTTTGTCTTAAGTAAAGATTAGCCTGTGTACTATTGTGCTAATTTAAAATTCTTTCAACACCGCTCATGAATATTCATTCAGATTTATCTCAATGTTAGTCGACATACAAAATCACATTCACCCATCAAGCTGCAGCAGAATTTAGCATTTATGATGCTGCAGCAGAATGCAGCATTTATTATGCTGCAGCAGAATGCAACATTTATGATGCTGCAGCAGAATGCAGCATTTATGATGCAGCAGAATGCAGCATTTATGATGCTGCAGCAGAATGCAGCATTTATGACGCTGCAGCAGAATGCAACATTTATTATGCTGCAGCAGAATGCAGCATTTATGATGCTGCAGCAGAATGCACCATTTATGACGCTGCAGCAGAATTTAGCATTTATGATGCTGCAGCAGAATGCAACATTTATGATGCTGCAGCAGAATGCAGCATTTATGATGCTGCAGCAGAATGCAGCATTTATGATGCTGCAGCAGAATGCAGCATTTATGATGCTGCAGCAGAATGCATTTATGATGCTGCAGCAGAATGCAGCATTTATGATGCTGCAGCAGAATGCACCATTTATGACGCTGCAGCAGAATTTAGCATTTATGACGCTGCTGCAGAATGCAGTATTTATGATGCTGCAGCAGAATGCAGCATTATTATGCTGCTGCTCTCGTTAAGATGACGGGATCAATATTTAAGTTCTGCTTGTCAGAAAACCTAAAGATAAAACCAGGGAGGATCAGGGTTGATTTAACAAACCAGAGACAGAAAAATAATGTTGTGAAAATTATTTACAGTTATACAGGATAAACTTCCATCAAGTAACTGGTTCAATCTTCCATGAACCTCAAACATTTACAAATAAATTCATTAAAAAATGTCCATATGCTGATAAAGATCCCAACCTGTAGCAATAGTCCAGTTTAACCAGTTACCAACCCAGTAATCAAGACTGAATCAACAGGTTTAGCAGCAGCAACAGCAGCAGCAACAGCAGCAACAACAGCAGCAAACGCAGCAACAGCAGCAGCAGCAGCAAACAGAAGCAGCAGCAACAACAGCAGCAAACGCAGCAGCAGCAACAGCAGCAACAACAGCAGCAAACGCAGCAACAGCAGCAACAACCTCAATGAAACAACAAGAGCTTTAAATTGTGCCAAAGGGCCGAACGACGGGAGCAAAACATGTTGGTCATTAATCAGATCAAATCATTCTGATCTGAAACAGAAACAGCAGCAGGACAACCTGCACAAAGAGACCAGATTAGACCAACACCTTCAGCCTAACAAATAACAATATTAATAACATTAATAATTATAAGTGGGGCGACTTTTGCCTCCTCCAAAGTGAAGGTGCTCAGCGGTGCTCTGTCTGTGCCTCTGAAAGATGTTTCCTTCAGAAAATGAATGTGCTTGATTAGTTTATTCTGAGTGTATTATTTTTGTGATTGAATTACAATAGTATTAGTAGTGCGATTACAGTATGCAACAATTCCACTGCCCTGCCCCTGCCCTGCCCTGCCCTGCCCTGCCCTGCCCTGCCCTGCCCTGCCCTGCCCTGCCCTGCCCTGCCCTGCCCTGCCCTGCCCTGCCCCCTGCCCTGCCCTGTGAGCTTCTCGTTGTTCCTGTCGTGCTCCACCAGCAGGGGGCGGTATGGGGATCAGCGCTCATCCAGCAGCCACCAGGGAGATAAAAGAACAAGAACAGCTTCCGGTGTTACGTTCGCAGCATCATAACAGAAAAGTAGAGGAATTAGCAGCATGCTAGCTGCGCTAACGGAGGGTTCGGGTTCTAGAGGTTTATCTGGCTCGGCTCGGGCGTTCAGAACCGGAACATGACGGCTCGTCCTGCTGGTTGTGCCGGCGGTCTGGACCAGAAGGTTCTGCAGTATGAAGCTTTCATCAGCGACGTGCTGAGGAGAGACCTGCGGTAAGCCAGACGGAACCGGGTCCGAACCGAACCGAGCCAAACCGGGCCGAACAAGCGCAAGAAGAAGCTGAGTTTCTGAGCAAAACCAGATCAAACTGAAGGTTCTGTAGGTTCTGCCTGGCGGGGCTCCGCGGATCGAGCGGCGTCTCGCTCCAGCTTGATCCGATTCATGGACGCTAATTTCGGCCGGCCGTTCCCTCCCGGCCCCGCCGGGCGCTCCGAAGTTCGGTTCGGTTCGGGACCGTGAACGAACCAAACACTGAGAAGCAGATGGGTTTCTTGACTTGTGACCATTTTATTCTATTTTCAGCCTTTTCATTCCTCGTCAGCGGGTCATATGTCCTGCAAACTACGAAAACAGCAGGGGCGCTGTGGTCTTTTCAATGTAAAGTTTTGTAAAGTCAAATGCAGATTCATCTCATATCTAGAAAATGTCCTCACTGACTTTGTGTCACAGAGTCTCCCAGCAGGAAGTTTGGTCAACAGCTGGAATATCATCAAGTTCCATCAGGAATCCCAGCCACCAAGACAAACTTGTCTATTATTTTCATTTGTTCCTCATAGGCTGATATATTCCAATGTTTTTTCTTGTAATGTTGATGATTGGCGTCCGCCAGGCTGCGGGCGCGGCGGTCAGCCTGAGTCCAGGTTCCTGTGGTTGGGGCCTTCAGCTGTAATGTGACGCCTGGTGCGTCGCTAGTTTCCATCTCGGACCTTAAACCCGGTTCTGGACTCTTGTGTTCAGGATTTCCATGTCCTGATGGAAAATTAAACCTGCATCTCTACAAAGTTGGTCAGAGGCAGGAAGTACTGGTGGGTGCATTGACCTTTGACCTCACAAAACACAGCTGACCAACACACAAATGACATACTAAACCATCACTGAGTGTGGAAACTTTGACTAGACCTGAAGCAACGTGGATTCTGCCGCTCCATTCTTCTTCCAGACTGAGAGGAAACAGAGTCCATCCTGTCTGCTTCAGGTCTGACACGATGAGTGTGTGTTTCCAGGACGGGTTTAGGGTCCCCTAACCCTCTATGAATGTGTCTGAACTCTGAACTCTGGAGCAAAGATCATCTTCTGGACAGCTGTCAGGTCAGCAGTCATGTGACCCTGCAGATCTGAACTGAGAGATCATTTAAAGCAAATGCAGGTTTTAATAGAAACCTCCACACTAATCAGTTAATTATCTGATTAGTGTGGAGCACCAGAAGTTTTCAATATTGAACCTGTCCACAATATTTTGTGAGACACTGAATTTGTAGTTTTCATCAGTTATGAGTTATAAATACAATGTACAAGTTTCACTTTTTGAATGGAATTACTGATTGAAATCAACATTTTTATGATATTTTTGACCAGCACCAGTAGACGGTCCCTAACTGGACCTCTGAGCGCCTGGCAGGCAGGACACTAGAACTCTCGGCCCAAATTAGCGCCTCAGCTCGACGCCGCTGACTCCACCCAGCGCCAACATCCCACTAGAAACCCACCGGCCGGACCGAGGAGCTCCGAAGGTCCGGTCCGGTTCAAGTTCTGATGACGGTTCCAGATGTTTCCTGTCATCTCAGAACTTTGTGCTGCCAGGAGGAGCAGAAGGTTCTGTCCGCAACCCGGTCCAGAACTTCTCTGGTTCTGCTCCTCAGATTTCAGCTGATCTGGTTGAAGATAGGCTCGACCTGGACTGGGACCATCAGAACCGTCTGAGTGGACCTGCACCATCAGAACATTTTCTCCATTTGTAATCGATTTCTGCTCTTTGGTGAAAACTGTTCCCGTTCTCCAGAACCCGGTACCAGAACCACGTCTGCAGGTCAAGGAGGAAGTCCTGGTTCTGCCCGACACAGATTGTGACTCGGTTCTGACCCGGTTCTGGTGTTGTGATGTTTGCAGGGCGGTGCTGGAGCAGAGGGATCGTCTCTATGAGAAGATGTCACTACCTGCAGCTGAAGAACGCCATCCAGACTCTGGAGGTAGCTGCACAGATCCTCCATCAGGACAGAGGTCTCTCTGCCACCACTTTCCTTTCCCCCTCATTTAAAACGGCTCCTCACGTGTTCTCCAGCAGGGGGCGCTGTGGTCTCAGCTGTCAGGAGTTGGATTATAATCCCAGGAGATGAAATGAAAGTATAACCTGGAATCAGAAACTGTTTCTTAGTTTTATTTTTATTCTTTTGAATAACATGACCAATCAGCTCCTGATTGGTTGGTTCTCAGGATTATTGATCTTCAGTCTGGAGTGCTGATCGAACAAAGAGCCAGAGCTGATTTTCAGATTGGATGAAGAAATGTTCTGGATTTTCAGCATTTTTACATTTAATTTATTTTGGGATTAAAAGTAATCTTTTATTTTCCTTCAAATGATAATTGTAAATTTTTCTCACATCTTTTCTGTTTTTAGATATTTAATCCACATTTCTTCTACGTTTGTTTTCTCCATGTTTACATTGTGTGGCTGCAGTTCGGGTCTCTGACATCACTGTGACATCACGCTGTGTCCTGCAGGAGGCGGGGCCTCAGCGCCTGAAGGCAGACGTGGATCTGGGCTGCAGCTTCTTCGTTCAGGCCCGAGTGTAAGCTCCTCCCCTTCCTGTGGCCATGTGACCGGACGGCGCCAGGCGCTTTTGATCCGGACTCCGGTTCCGGTTCTGACCGGCTCGTCTTCCTCTCCTCAGGGACAATCCGTCCAGGATTCTGGTGTTGGTCGGGTTCGGGTTCTTCGTGGAGATGAGCCACCAGGAGGCGCTGCGCTTCATCGACAAGAAGACCAATCAGCTGACACTGTATGTTGGCCGTCGCCATGGCAACAACTATACAGAATACTTTGGAAATTTTACTTCCTGAAACTGATTTTAACATTTTATTAATTTCTGTTTTTACTTTGTCTCAAATTATTCAACTTGGAAAAGTTCAAAATATAATTTCTCCAGATGTAAATTTTATTTTAGAAATGGAAACATTTTCCTGCGATTTTTATGCTTTAGCAAGATAGTTTTAGATTTCCAGATTAGTAAAGTGTTTTCCATGTCAAATACTAAAATACTGTCTAACAATATAAAATTCAATTTTGATTTTTTTATATGCTTATAATTTAGCATTTATCAATGTTTTTAAAACATCTTTTGTTTAAAATTATTTCTCCAGAACATTTTGATACTAATTTTAAAAATTGAAGAAACAAATCAGCTGAAGAGTGAGACAAAATGTTTAATCTAGAATATTTTTCTGATTTTCAAACTAAAATATTGGAATGTTTTACAATATTAGCCCAAGTTAAAGCAAACTGATGTGATAATTTTTGATTTTCACCTAAATTTTCAGCAACATGTAAATGTCAGATTTCCACAGGTTTAGTCGATTAGCTCGATGCTACAGGATCCACTGGTGGACCAGATGACAGATGCTAGCTGTGCTAATGCAATATGCTAGCGATGCTAATGAGATGCTAGCTATGCTAATGAGGGATGCTAGTCATGCTAACTCTGTGTTTGCTTGCAGCTTCATTGAGCAGCTCACCAAGGACGTCGCCAAAATAAAAGCCCATATTCGCATGGTGCTGGAGGTCAGTTCATCTGCAGAACTGGACCGGTTCTGACCCAGAGGACTGATGGGTCTTAAACCAGTCCCAGTAGAACCAGTTTGTCTCTGGGCAGATCTAATTGGCTGCTCTCTTCTTCTGTCCAGGGTCTGCGGGAGCTGCAGGGGCTGGAGGAGCTTCCTGCCGTCTGCAGGAAGTCTGCTGCTGCTGCTCAGCTCTGATTGGACGATAAGGAGGAAGAGGATGAGGAAATGATCTTCAACTGGACACACAGTGGAACCAACTTCTCAGATGTGAATGGAAACATTGATGACATCTACTTCCTGTTGCTGCTCAAACAGGAAGTCCTCCATATCACTAGGACCTTTCAAAATAAAATGTCAGGAAGTGGCTTTGTCTGTTGAACAGAGAAGCAGCTGAACTGAAGCTGAAGAAACAAACATGAACAAGTTTTCGTCTTTTTGCTGTTTATTGTGGGTTTTTTTAAATAAATAATTTGAGAATATTTTGTTGTTTTGGTTCATTTATTATTGATTATTTATTGTATGTTTATTTTTTGACTGTTTTATTGTGTAGTATCCAAGGACAAACAGAATTTCCCTCCTTTAAGGGATCAATGAAGTATTTTATTTTTCCTTTAGATGTTATTTAGGTGTGTTTTTCATTCGAACATGTTTCTCCTTATTTTATCATTTCTAGTCACTCATGCAAATTGACAGAACCTAAAATGTTTTGAGTTTATTTTATGCTGATTTCCAGCAGATCCTGTTTATACTCCAGATGAATTAGAACCATTCTGGTTATTGAACCCTGCAGGCAGGTCCGGTTCTGCTACGGTTCTGCTACGGTTCTGCTAAGGTTCTGGTCCGGTTCTGGTTCGGTTGGGCTATTTAGTATGTTTTATAATTCTTATTATTTATGTTGTAAAAACTGAGAAGATGTTGAATTCTCAGCACTTTGATACTTTATAAATAAAAGAAATATTTTAGTTTTTGTCAGATTTTCTTAAATCTGATATTTTTGTAAATATTGTTTTTGTGAAACATTTCAGGATATCTAAGAGCTTTGTTCTGGATTTCCATTGACCTGTAGAAGTTCCTGTTCCGGACCGGTCAGGAACCGGTTCCGGACCGGTTTGGAACCGGTTCCGGACCGGTTTGGAACCGGTTCCGAACCGTTCCGGAACCGGTTCCAAACCGGTTTGGAACCGGTTCCGGACCGGTTTGGAACCGGTCCGGAACCGGTCCGGTACTGTCGGGTCTCGGCTGTTCTCACAGATGCTTGGCAACCTGGAGCTTGTTTCCATGGTAACGGTTTGCGGTAACGGTTTGCGGCAGCAAACCGTTTGCCATGAGAATGGACTGAACCGGGTCAGACCAGAACTGAAATAGTTTGGACCTTTTCCAGCTCAGCTGCCTCCTGGGGTCAAAGTTCATTTTCACCTGGATCGTTATGCTTTGTAATTTGTCTTTTATTTCTGGAAAGAAATTCTGACCAACTCTTCTGAGCTAAAATTGATTTTCTTGTTCTGATACTTTTATGAATTCTTCACATATTTTGTTTATTTATCTGTTGGTTTTTACTCTTTAATATGTTTTTAAAATTCAGATTTGTTGATCATTCCAGTTATTGTTATTTTCATTCCTAAGTTTCTGATGTTTATTATTTTCCGGGATTGCAGAATGAGTCTAGAAGTTTTATTTCCAGATCAAGACGAACTGGAAATAAAACCAGATTAAATTCATCTGGTTCAATTCTCACCGAGGCTTTTCTCTGCCTTGCTCTGCGGCTCCTCGGCAGCAGCAGCTCCTGATGACGTCTCCATCCTGTTGCCGCAGAAACGGTCCTGCATCAAACGTCCCGCTCCCACCGGAAACTATATCGAAACACACGGGCTTCCCTTCAAAGTAAAGCTCTGTATCTCCTGTCGGGGAGTGTCTGCTCCTTGGGGTCAAAGTTCATTGTGTTGAAAGTGGCTTGAACTGAAAGTCCAGATAAACGAGACATACATGGAAAAAGCTCCTGAAAACCTGGAACAGCAGAAAGTAGGACGGCTGTAAGAAAGGCTCACAGCACAGAGGCCCCATGCATCAAACACTCAGTTTTCACACTAAAACTTGGACTAGGACAAATTTAGAAAAGTGCGGCGCACAAACGAGTCCAGATGTATAAAGCCTGCGGTCCCGGCGCCTTTCCTTTCTAAATCCTAATTTACAGGAAGCAGAGCAGCTGCTGCTCCGCCCGTCGCCTCCATAAATACATATTAATGTAAATTAGTATAAATACCAGGAAGTCTGCCGCCACGTGAAGCCATGGCAACGTCTTTGTCGCAGTACACGTCTTTAGCATAATAACGATTCTATATTTGATTTCCAAGTTGCTCTCGGGGCGCATAAGGTCACAGAAATCCAAATAATAATTGTAAAGACGAAACTCCACATAAATGATGAGACCTGCAGCCAGACGGAGCAGCAGAACCTGCAGCCGCTTTAAACCTGAACACAGGAAGCAGAGCAGAAGCTACAGGGTAGAGATGTTTCTGTCCACAAGGCGGGCCAGCCGGACCGGAACCGGGACCGGGACCGGGACCGGGACCGGAGCCAGGACCGGAACCGGGACCGGGACCAGAACCGGGACCAGAACCGGGACCGGGACCGGAACCAGAACCGGGACCAGAACTGGGACCGGGACCGAGACCAGAACCAGAACCGGGACCAGAACCGGGACCGGGACCGAGACCAGAACCGGAACCGGGACCGGAACCAGAACCGGGACCAGAACCGGGACCGGGACCAGAACCAGGACCAGAACCTGCTTCAAGTTCTGCTCAGAGTCCCAGGATGATCAGTCTGGATCAATCTAAACGCCAATAAACCAGCAGATCAATATGATCTCTGATCAATGGCTCCATGTTCTCCATCAGAGCCACAGGAGCAGCTATACCTGAGATTATTGATCAGCTGCAGTAATCAAACCTATTGATCACCTGCAGTAATCAAACCTATTGATCACCTGCAGTAATCAAACCTATCGATCACCTGCAGTAATCAAACCTATTGATCACCTCCAGTAATCAAACCTATCGATCTGCAGTAATCAAACCTATTGATCACCTCCAGTAATCAAACCTATCGATCAGCTGCACTAATCAAACCTATCGATCACCTGCAGTAATCAAACCTATCGATCACCTCCAGTAATCAAACCTATCGATCAGCCCTGGTTTCTCTTGAATAAATCAGTCATTGATTCATTCAGACGAATCGTTTTGTCTTTATGAGACAAACTGAATAAATGTATTATTTACATGTTGTGATGTTTTCACATCTTTATTTTCTTTTCTTTATTTTGTGCTGGCTTATTGTCTGAGGATAAATCGGTTCAGTTTCATCATCTAAACAATAAAATATGAAAATCATAAAATCATTGGGTTTGATGCTTCCTGCTCTAAATAACTGAATCATATTTCAGTGGATTTTGATGAGTTTTGTCTCTCTACTTTATTCTTGTCCACAGAACCATTTCATACATGAGAGCCCTGGACATTACTGCGAGGGAATGCAAAAGAAAAAACCCCTGCATGTCCCCTAAGGGGATCTGTAGGAGCTGGAGCTGAAAACAATATAACATTATTAGTTTTTACTCAGAATCGTATGATTCCTTCTGTAAATAGTCATGATACATCTTATTTTGTATTTCCTAAACACTCAATGATGCTTGAAAGAAGTACAGTAACATAAAATCAAACAATGCAGCATACCATAAAGATACACTGAGTTTAAATTAATCTTTAGCTGCGCCTTTTTGAACTTTTATTTGAAAGACGCCACCGGAACCCCAGTCTTTACCGCCGTTACTGTGCTTGTGTTGAAGAGTTCAGTCGTTATCCCCGAACACATCTATCGAATCAGAAACTGGACTTTCTCCGTTTCTTTTGCTCCGTGTTGGAGGTGCGTGGACGGTCCCGGGAATCTCTGGAGATGTTTCGGGTCTGACGCAGACCGAGAGGCGGGGGGCTAAGCTAACAGCTCAGTACTGGAGCAGATGGCTAGGCTGAGCTAGGCTATGCTAGGCTAACAGCTCCTTGGTAGAGCAGGCTAGGCTAAAGTAACAGCTTCTGTTGTGACTGGACCTTGAACTTGCGAAACTTTTCTAAAAGCATTAGGACTTTGATTTGTAATATATTTGTTTTCAGTCTCTGAGAAGATAAAACTTTATTTTGCTTTGATTTTGCGGTGGAAGCAGTTGTCTTATGGTTCTAGCGGGCTTTGTCAGCAGGTTTGTTTGCGGCAGAACGACCCGGAGCGCGGATCCGTCCAGGACCGCCGCAGGTGAGCCCAGAAGGATTCGCTGATAGCGGGGCTGCTTTCCTTGGACGCTGTGCTCCCCAGAGGACAGTTAGCATGGAGGCTGCGGAGCCCCGCCGCGGCGGCTCGGAGCGGTTACATAACGACAGCAGGTCGGCAGAGAAGCGGCTGAACGTCTCCTCCTCCTCCGCCTCCTCTTCAGCTCCGCTGTGACACTTTGCACGCAAACAGACCCGCAGCAGCAGCGACACGACGCCGACAGCCGCAGCATGGAGGCGGTGTGACTGCAGCCAGGCTGAACCCGCTCAGAAGATGGAGTCCAACCCTGATTAACGGTAAGCAGGTAGCAACAGGTGAGCCTGCGGCTTCAGGTGGCGCTGTGTCCGTGTGCTGGTGACGCTGAAACCGCTTCAGCTTCCGTTCAGCTTACAAACGAGCCTGAAACTGAAGGCCTGAGTCAGGGTGAAAATGCTTTAACCTGCTTTAAATAAAGGACAGAAGTGCTAAATGAGCATTTCTCCAGTTTAATGCAGCTGGAGTCAAATTTCTTCACGACCCAAAGATGATTCTGGTTGATAAAGATCGATTTTCTGTGATTAATCGCTGTTGGTGATTTTCAGCCATATGCAGCAGCTTCCATTCTGCCTGAACAAAAACATTAATGAACGTTCATTTTTCCATCATCCCAAATGCTGGCTGAGTGATTATTGTTATGATCCGATCAGCCTGAGGAGGAAGAGGATGTCGCTCTTCATCTTGTTGATCAGCAAACTCTCTCGTCTGTGATGCAATATTAGCATGTTACCATGGCAACGCTGATGCTTTCATGTTGTTAGATGAGATGATGGCAGGAGAGGCGCCGCCAGGCCCGGTTCTGATCCGAACACGGGCCTGTTCTCTGGTTCTCCTCGTGGTTTGAGCAGCCAGTCGGGTCGAGTCGGGTCAGCAGGTTCCCCCAGTTAACCTGCTGAGTGTTTTTGTATGAAAGATGTTGATTAGACAGGAAATGTAAAAATATTACTGGATGTTACAGGAAAACATCTCCACTGAAACTATTTAAACCACAACTAGTCTGAAAAACAGCAAATCAAAAAATGCAATTAAAATGAATATTAATTATTTGCACTTGTGTTTAATCCACATGAAGGCAGCGGGTCCCTCGGCCCCCGGGCTTCAGGGGCCATAAATGATCATATTT